CCCTACGACAGTGTTGTCTCAATCGGCCCAACTTTCGGCCCCCGCTTCCGGGCCCCCCCCCCCTCCTTTTTGGACATTTCTGGATCCGCCCCTGCAAGTATACTTGGATGGGATAAATCTAGCCTCCTAAGGCTATGCCTACCTAACCTAACCTCAACCTACTAGGCCTATTTACATATATATAAAACACCCTAGCCTTACTTCTATTCTACTTACTACGGAATACTGTACTCTAGCAAGCCAGAGGCGGCCTAGTCTAGCAGGTAGGCTAGGCCCTAGGCTAAACCCTAGCGCCGAACCTACTCGACTGAATTAAGTAATTAACTATTGAAATTTAAAGCACGGAGGTGTAATAATTAAAATTTAAAAAAAAAACCACGTAATTAATAAAACTCACGGACCTCTTTATAGGCAACGTCATCGTATTGTCACTAGCCAAAAGTTTGCTGACTTCATGTAAACATGTTTAATTTGAAAAGGGGCTCAAGTAAAGCTCGATTAGCTTTGGCTATTTTTCTTGGCTCCTATTGCATACCTGTATTCTTTTTGTTCTTTTGTATGCAATAAAGAGAAACAAACAACGAACAAATACGACACACCGTAACGCAACATTTCCAGAGTGGCGAGTCTGCAACAGGGTTGCCATTTGGCCTTTTTGACGGCCAGATTCCTCAAATCTGGCCGTATAAAAATTTGCCTGGCCGTAACGTTTGAAAAGTCACGGCCAAACTATATTTGGCCGAATTTGACCGAATTTTTGAATTTACATTTTTGTTTTTCAATACAGGCCTAATATAACCCTGTCTCTTATACACATCTAGATGTGTATAACAAAAGAGGAAGCATGTTATAAAGATATCCTGTTTTCTTTCCTATATTTCTTATGTAAAACCGGATTTAAACTTTCAAAACGTTTCTACAATGTGTATTTAGGCTTCATCAATACGGTATTGGGAATGCATCAATAGTCAATCAGTCAATTGATTGAATAACGCTTTTGTATCATCGGCATACCTTTTTAGTGTAACCTTACAATGACTAGACAATAAGTAATTGATATAGAGAAAACACAAAATAAAAAATAAAAAATATGTTCTCTCCTATAAAGTATAATGAAAATAACCTGATGGAAATCAAAAGGAAAACTAGGAGGAACAATGCAAATGGGGGGGGGGTGATAGCCTGGGCCGGGAATAACTCTCCCGGTAGAAAAAAAATCAGTGGGGAAAATTAGCAGGTGGCAAGTAGCTACCGTAATAGTGCTATATTCTGTAAAGTAAAGCCCCAAACCACCTCGATTTTGAGTCTACTAAATTTAAAAATCTTACCAGGCTTTTGCAGATATAGCCAGAACTAACTTAATATTTGGAGTTCTTTGATAGCAGATTATTTTTTTTTTAGATTTCAGTGAGGTAAATCAAAATTTAAAAGTAGATAGACATTTTGAAAACAAGAAAAAAAAAACAATTTCTCCCATATTACAGAAACTTCTTTGTTGAAACTAATACAGAAACAAATTCTTTTGTATTTAAAATATTTTTTTTAAAAATGAATTAAGAAACATTAGAACATTCAAGATTAAATACATTAAAAATAACAAGCTTCTTTTTCTTTTATTTGGTGCGTCAGCCATCTTGAAATTCAAAATGGCGGCCGATGACTTTGGGGAAAAAATGGCACCTACTTTTTTGAATTCAGCGCAGTAAAAATGATAAAATTAGTCAATAAAATCTATTTTTGCTCAAAAATCTATCTGGATTACATAGAAAACTAGCTTATATACTCGTTCTTATTTTATGTACATTTTAAGTAAGTATATTTTGCGATTATTTTAAACAAATAAACACCTATTTTTTAATTATGCTCCATTCTGGCTTGAGTGACAGTAGTTTTTATATGTCTAGTTTGTTGCCTGAAATTATGTGTTTAGACACCAAAATCATATCTGTAGCTTATTTAGTTTCAATTTTATGCACATTTTAGATAAATTTGGCGGCCATTTTTAAAAATGGCCGCCATTTGTATACAAGGAGTAAAATCAAGTGTCAGCAGGGCTTAGGGTGACCAGAAGGGATTAATTAGGATATCTGGCTATGTGGATTGCTTCTAACATTCCACTCCCCTTAACTCATTTTTTTCAGATTTTTTTTCTAGTCTATAATGTTATATTCATATAGCCCATATTGCACATTGCCCCTATGCGCTTTACAAAGAAGTAATACAGGCCAACCGAGAAAATACAAATAACAATAAAATAAAAAATAATAATCATAATAACAACAATAAAAATGAGACTAAACTACTCCTATTCCTTAAAATAATTAATGGTTGGCCGTTGACTCCGAGGAGCTCATCCGCCCTTTGTTCAGCTATTGGTTTCTTGCTGCTGGGTGACCATACCTTCCCTCAGCAGCCGCTAAGACATAGCTGAGAGGGTTGTCAGTTTAGTCTCCGACGTTTCGACCGGATGGAGTTTGAAGTCGTACCCAGGAAGTCTCTAACTAAGCTATGCTTAACTACTCTTAAATACAGTATTTTACTCTTAACTACAATTGGTTAAACTATCCCCCGCCGGACACCATCACGGTATTTAGCAGTTTCGGGGCTATTTTATCAACCATAAAATTAGTCAGATAAAAAATGGCTTTTAAGAAGAGATGTATTAAATGTACTGACGGAAGTTGCATGTTTGATGTGTAGTGGGATGTTATTCCAGTTGGTTGGAGAAGCAACTGAAAAGTAAAGGCACAATTGTGTGAATGCTTTGGGTATGAAGAAGCCCTTTAGTGCTAGAACGTAATGTTCGCTTGGTGGGGTGATCTTGTATTAATGTAATGTGGTGCGTTGTTATGCCTGGACTTATATGTAATCAAAAAAATCTTGAAAATGATCCGTTGATGAACGGGCAGCCAGTGGAGTGAATGAAGAATTAGGGTTATGTTCTCATGGCGTCTGGTTTTTGTAATCAGTCTTGCAGAATTAATAATTTAAGTACAAACATGTCGCACGTGATATGAAGGTGTGGGATTTAAACTGTAGTTCAACTTCCTCACCTTATAAGAACTTACCACATTTGATCAGGTAATAAGGAAGTTACGTGTTTACAAGAGGCCCAGCCCCTCCTCACCTTCACGAAGAACTTTTAATTAATTTACATTCAACTTTAAATAAGCCAATTTATTCATAATTCAGTGGGCTGGACCAAGGGTCGTGAGAGGGGTAAGCGAGTCTTTAATGGATTCTACAAAAGAAGAGCACATTTCCCTGCAGTATCTTTTACAGAGACCCCTACTAACTTGAGAAGTCTCTAAACTTTGTGTTTCGTTCCTGAATACAATTCCACTTTAACAAACACAAATAGCAAATTGTAAAGTCTGACCGCCTGAGGCCCTAAATGGAGTGTGCTAATTACCGGTATGCTCTGTAGAACCCCGGGAAGGGGAAGTCCTGCGCACCTTCCATTTAAAATCTCCTCACTCAGTGGCGTATTTAGGGGTGCCCGGGGTTGGGGTAGTTGTTAAAAATCACCTAAAATCAGCATATTTTGTGAGCTAGATCCCACTACATGACCTTCGCGCCCCATCAGGCATTACCCCTTCTCCATCATTTCAAGACTCAAGACACGCCACTGTTCTCACTTATAAACAAGTAGGCCTACGCCTAGTACGTAAGTGACGTTTACCCATATTTTTTGCATATTTTAGTTAAGTAATAAATTTGAATACTTTTATAATGTAAGGTCTGTAAACAACAACATTGGTGGGGGGGGGGGGGGTGTTGTTGTTGTTTTTTGTTTTTGTTTTATGTTTTTGTTTTTGTTTTTGTTTTTTTTTTGGTGACGTTAAGAAGAGTATAGATAGGCTTGGTTGGGATTGTAATTAAGCTATATTTGGTCTTCCATTTAAAATATATTTATTTTTTTCTTTGAGGTGGGGTTCGGGATATCTTCCCAACATTAACCATGCAAAAGCTTGCTACAAATGTTCCAGGCCTCTGCTAAATCTTACCTCGTTTACCTGCTAGAAAGAGCAATCTTTAACAGGCAATACCGTACCTTTCCTTCCGTTTTTCGTACTGGGGTTATTCGATCGTCCAAAATTCCTGTTCAGTTTGTATATATTAAGATAGGACGGCTGAGTGTTCGTATCAGTCTGTTATTACTTCTCAACGAAGAACACCGTGCCGACAAGAAAAAAAAAACAACTAGGCCTTCATAAAGGTAAAACATTTGTTAATTTACTTTCATAGTTTAGATGCTCCAAAACCAATTTCTAATTATGTCAGGGTAGAATTGAAAAACTGGGTATAATCACTCTACAGACTGTTTCATGCTAATGCAATCGTCAGGAGTGAGAGAATACAAGGATTGTGCGAGTATATGAATGCTAAGGCAGGTGAAAATGAAAATGAGTTTAATTGTTTTTAAGTAGGTATTTGTTGTTGTGTCTGCATTCAGACAATAGCTCCGTTCTTTTGTTTAGTATTGACTGTCTGAATATATTATGTTTCTCGGTTATGCATAGGTTGCAGCGTTTTGTTTTTGGGGAGTAAGCCGATGCTCTGTCGATAATAGACCAATTGATATTCTAGGGTGTGTTGCTGTCTTTTAATTTCCATACGTATTTGGAGAGTACGCGTGGTGCTGTTTCTGTGTTTTGGGGTGTTAAAAGTGTATTTGTGGTTTGTGTATCGGGTTTTGAATTGTGTGTCAGTGAGCCCGATGTAGCATTTTGTGTCATCATTTGAGTGGACAGTGGCTTTGTAGAAGATGGATGAGGTGAGGCAATTTCCAGAGAGTGGACATTCATCTTTTTTCCTGCAATTGCAGAGTTAATCTAACTGTTGTTGTGGGCTCTGATTATACTGCCCATGTTTCTTGAGCAGCTATAGCTGACTTTGACATTGTTCTTGTTGAACAGCTTGTGCAAAATGTTGCCACTCGGGAAATGTTTTCTCACCAGGTTAAGGAATGATTTTCCGATGTTGGTTTTCACTCCTTTGCTGAATGGTGGGTTGTACCAGATTATTTGGCTGCTTCTATTTCTCTTTGGGGATTTTGGTTGTGGAGGCCGGTATTCCATTTTGTGCTGGAATCCGCTGTTTTGCAGAGCTTGTTCGTAGTCAGGGGCGGCCTGATGGAATGATTCACTGGAATCCGATATACTGGATATGCGTCTGTTAATAGATGCGGGAATTTGTTTCAGGATAGATGGGGGATGGTTGGATTTGCTGTTGACGTAGAGTAGTTGGTTGTTTGGTTTGCTGTAAGGCTTGAAGGACCCATTTTTTAGGCTGAGTGTGGCATCGAGGAAGTTGGTGGTGTGGATGTTCGCACAAAAGGCAATATACGATGATACAGTGTCTGTCAGTTCATGAATATCACGGGTGTTGTTGATAAAGACGTTCCATTAGGTAGCCTCTAAGCAACCTACGAGTTTTTCAATATGTTCAGGGTACCACAGTTTAATTGTCTTTGTTTTCACCTTGCTTGTCTTTGATTTTTGCTTATTCGTAGGCAATAACTCTATAAATTGATGATCGGACGCACCGATTGCTAGTAAGATGTGTAAGCGCGAGACAATAAGCACCAACAACAGTCAGGTGTACTTTCTCCTCTTGTTGAACATGACACATAATGTCTGAAATTTGGGAGCACAGATTAAGTTTACACTGGTTTAAATCACCTACAATTAGAATAGGGCATTCAGAAGAACGGGGTTGAAGTAACTGTGTATGATCAGCAATGACTATAGCTTTAATACATTCGAATTCTCTTGGCAGATAAAAAGGTATCTTTTAATGTATCTAATCTTCGACTTGATCTATCTACCCTATTTATTATAGGGGGGCATATTCATTTTCCCTCTTTCTTTGTTGTTAACATTAACTTTAATTTGTTTTATTTCTCTCTAGAAATGGCTTTGTTTATTGGTGCTTTGCTTGCCGCAGTTATAATCCTAGTAGCAGGTGAAACAAATTATTCGACACAGTCAGCATTTACGGCCAAGTTGACAACTGGGCTCAACGCAGCGTTGGACAAAAATACACGTATCGTCTTCGATTCAGTCTTGACCAGCGTCGGCAATGACTACAATCCTAAAGATGGCAGATTTACTACCAGCATCTCAGGAACTTATGTTTTTTCTCTGAGTCTAATGAGCCAGTACTCATCTAGTAGTACTGCGTTTGGTTGTTTGTACAAGAATGACGTAGAGCAAATCTGCGTCTGGTCCAACGGAAACAGTGCCCACGAGATGTCGAGCAATACGATCACAGTCAAACTGAAAAAGGGTGATGTCGTTGAGGTTGCCCTAAAGGCTGGACGGAATTACGCACTTCACAACTACGGTCAAGCTGGATACTGTTCATTTACTGGCTTCTTGCTTTACCCAGAAGAGAGTCTTCTGGAAAAACTATTAAAGACAATCGACACATTGAGTAAGTAGGCATATAGGCCTATGCAAAATTATGAGGTATAGGGCCTACTCTTACGGTTAATCAGTAGCCTAGTGGTGGTAGTATATTCGACTGATTCGACGAATATAAATTGACAGACAGGCAGACCACACGATATAACACAATTCATTGTAGTGAATTTAGATAGATACCGTAGCTTACTTGTTTAATGAGTTTAGTTTATTTTGTCATTCTGATCGGATTTTCTCTACTGTTCCGTTTTAATTTTAAATAGTTTTGCATTATGTGGCCGTTTGCTGTTTGATGGGTTTCCCAATTCGCCTTTTAAAATT